TCAACGTGAAATCTCTACAACAAACTCTACATCATAAGCCGCGAACGAGGCACGGTCGCTCTCCGACATGAGGCGCGCGTTGCACTTGCCAGTGCTGCCCTGGCCTTCTGTCTGCCCGCCCAATGGGTGGCAGGTGCCTCTGCTGCTGTGGGGCATGCCTCACGGCTGCGACTGGCCGGCGCCTCGGCGCGTCAGCTCGGCTCGGCGTAGCGATCGTGGCCAGCGCAACTCGCCTGGACTCAACGCTCAGCCAGGAGCTCCCGCACGCGCTGGCGCGAGGCATGGCGCATGCAACGCGCAGCAATGCTCGCCTCGCCTCGCGCAAATGCGACCGTCCTCGCAGCCGACAGTCCACCGCCTGCTAAAGAAGCACAGCGACGAATGCGGCACCGGCGACGCATGGCAGGCTGGTCATGACGCAGTCATAGGGTGTTGTGTGCCGTCAGAGTGACTCTCTGTGTGTCAGGGATAGTCAGGGCTGTCCATCAGAGCTCCAGTAAGCTCGGAGACACCCCATTAGCGCGGCTCGACCTCTACTTTGAGTTACTGCCTTCCCGGCGCGGTTTGGCTGTAGAGCCTCTACAAACAAACTCTACAGCAAAATCGCGCTCTACATCGCTCTACATCGGACTCACATCGTCCCGCGCCGGATGTAGAGCTCTACAGCTCTACAGCGCTCCAGAGTGCTCTACATCTCTACAGCTCTACAGCGCTCTACACTCTACATCCTCTACCACCCTCCCTCAGGGCCAGCTACTGTGGGAACCACCTCAAGGCCGGCGCATGCGCCGGCGATGGACTGACCCAGCAGCTCAAGGGCTCGCACTCTCCTCACCACCACCGCGCGCGCGCTGCAGCAGGAGTACCGCACCGCACTGCGACAACATGCCGCACTGCGACAATATGCCGCAGCGCTGCACCGCTTCTCCTGGACAGCCATCGAGTACTCGATGGTCCACTTCGAGGGCGCGGTCAGCACTGCGCAGGATCTCTCCTGAGAGCCAGCGCGGATCGCGGCTGCGGCCCAAGGCTCTGCCGGCGGGTCTGTGGCCTGGCGCCTGCCAGTCTGCGGGTCGGCAAAATACCCCGGCGCTCGCGCGCGCCACCGCCCCCGGCGCGGGGTGGGATGTCAGTTCGTGAGTTCTGTGTTCCTGTCCCTGTGCTCCACCTTCTTCTCCCGCGTGAGTCCCTGAGAACCCCACTACATAGCGCCACCTCGTGAGCTGTCCTGTGAGCTGTGTGCTGTGTGTGTGTCCAGCAGTCCGGACCCGGTGCTACGGCCGGTGACAGTGTGCCTCGTGTCGGCTCCCGAGCCAATCGTGTGCAACGTGTGTGTGCGTGTGGGCCCGTCCTCCATGCTGGGAGGGTAAAACGGACTAGGGATCCTAAGGGAAAAGAAATCGTGCAACAAAGTTGGCTGGCCACGCATGTGCATGCCACGATCCTCGCTCCGCGCCCCGCCGCGATCCTGGCCCTCGCGCGGGGGCAGCCCCCCCCCCCCCCCCGCTCGAGCCTCGCGCTCCAGCCCGGGGAACACTGCACCAAAGCAGCCCGACGCCCGCCTCCCGCGCCCGCGCAGCTTGATGCCTTGCATCTGCACCTTCCGCGTGGAATCCAAGACCCCAGCCTTCCGCTCGACCGGCCGTTCCACCGGAGCGTTTGACTACAACGCCGAGGAGGAATG